ACATTTTAGCTGGAGTTAGTATTTTTTTTATGAGGAGCAATTTATACACTAATACAAGGTGACCATATACTCCTTTTATTCACCGTGGTAAATGGATTTAGAAAAGAAAAATCACTGCACTCTGCTGCAGAAAATTTTTCTAGTTTGCTGAATAGCAGCAGGTGTCACCTCTGTTATGTTGTGACCCGAAACTGTTTTTTTAAAGCAAAAAAGCACTTTTCAGCACAAAGGTGACCCCTAATGCTATTCAGTAAACAAGTAAAGTTGCTAAAGCCCAGAGTAAGGTGATTAATTTTCTTTCCTGACGTATTTGCCGAAGTACAATGAGCCAGACCGGCACATGGAAATGTAGCCGCAGAGCCTGTGAAATTAATCATTATACATATCATCTTGTAAAACATGAATACAATTTAGTTCAGTTAAATTCACACAGATGAGGTCATGCATGCCCCTTGTTCATTTAGCTGACCTTCTCTGAGCTCCTGAATCTTAGGCCTTTTTCTGGAGTAATCCACATAAAATCGAACTGCATATTCAAAATGAAGCCATACATAAGCCTTCAATAGAGACAAAAATGCTGTCTTTCTTAAAGGATCAGTCCACTCAAAAGTTTTTTTATATGTACTGTAGGTGGAGCTTGGTTGCCCGAGTTAGTCCCAGGCTTCTTATGTGACTGCTATACTCCAACAGCAGGATCTCCAAGCCATAATTCCCAACTCTGTTCATGTTCACCTGGTGGTTTTGGGGGTTCGCAACTGCCTTTGCCTGGTGCCTTGGTGGATATTTCAGTTTTGGATGACCTAAGCTCTTAAGTGTCTGCCTCTTTTAATACATGAGAGTATCTTATTAATGTCATAAACTGTAGACTGGTTTGCATGTTGGTATGAGACTATAAGCCTTTATCAAACTGCACACGGTGTATGTAGTAGTCCTTTGGCCTTGCTGTTGCTCCACCTTTTCTTTTGTTGATGTTTTTGTATTAAAAAAAAATTACTTCTTTTTTTCAAGACACTACCACCAAAGAAAAGCCTTGTTCGTCCTAAACAGGGGTCTCCAAACTTTCTAAACAAAGGGCCAGTTTACTGTCTATCAGACTTTTGGAGGTCGCACTGTGGCCAGCTAAATGCCCCAGTGTCAGTAACAATGTCTCAGGCTTAGTGGTCAGTGGGAGTAAAACAAAGTTATACAGCATCTGTGGGCAGTAGGAGGAGGAATAGTCATTGGTGTCAGTGGGAGGATCAGTGTCCCATCGCTGGTGTCATTGGGAGGAATATTTCTCCATTATTGGTGTAAGTGGAAGAAAAAATGCCCCATCATTGATGTCAGTGGAAGGTATAGGGCTCCATTGGTATCAGTAGAAGGGATAATGCTCTATCAGTGGTGTCTGTGGGAGGCAGGAACAGTGCCCCCAGGGCTGCATACAGGTGAGCAAGGGCCACAGATTAAATACCAATGGTCCTGATGAAAAAAAAAGGTACATGAATTACTTTGTTATCTTAGGTAATGACAAAGTAAATGCCAAATCAATAGGCCCATAGCAGAAATGGAAAAATTGTTCTAGTTCATAGGGGGTTTACAGGTGTGGACACTGAAGTGGTTAAACTTAATTTTATCCAAAATTGCCTAGTTATACAGTTGTTTTAGGTCAACTTGTAAACACACAAAAAAGAATGTTTTATTCCAAACTCAAAATAATTTCTAAACACCTTAAAGAATAGAGTTTCCAAGTCTAAACTTTGCAATGCACCTATAACTGTAGACCAGAGTATGAATTTTTATATTCTCTATATGTAGTCCTTAAGCCAGTTATCTATCCAGTTCATATTTTATTAGCTAATGTGTCAAAGGCTTAAAAAAAAGCCCAAGTAACATTCACAGCACTTTTCCCCATAAAGTGTCTACTCACTTGCTCATAAACCTAACTTTCCCACTGCCTGTGCTGCCTTGCTACTCAGTTAAGTGAAAATCATCCTCAATTTGGCAACAAAACTGATACTTCAAAGAGTATAATTCTCCTGGTAGGCTCTCATTGGTTTCTTCTGCTGAACATCACTTATTACAGAAAACAGCAGTGATATGGAGGTCAGTAGAAGGAAAAAGTAACAACTGTGGGGTACCCAGGAGATTGACATTTCTAGTCTTGTGCTGTCTGTACAGATGTCAGCAAAGGCTAGTAGAACTCCCACTTTGGAATGTGGGGATGCCTCTTCATGCTGAAAAGACTTGTGTGTTAGGAGCTTTGTCCTGCTTTAGGAGTCAAGATTTTTCTGTAAAACGGGGCTACTGATTTAGCTTTGCCTTAGAGATTTACCTGGGGTAATGAAAAAGGAGGAATTTTCCCAGATTGAAGCCTAGGCTTCTTCTTTTAGGGTAGATGAGTACTCTTACATACAGTAATATCTTTGATGAAACTGTCCAATGCAGCTTTGAAGAGACATTGTACCTCAAAGGACATGTACAGTAAACACAATTTACATACAGTACTTTCTCAGCAGCCCATTTATTTTAAAGAGTTCTTCACATGGTAAATGATAGGAGATCCATTCAAGAAATAAGACCAGAGACATTTACCAACCCATCTACATGCTATTTCAGAGCTGTCAGCATAAACTATAATCGTTCTAAAAATAGTGGATTAGTGTGAAGCAAGGCTTGATCCTATTCCATGTGTTTAGTTCATTCCCCTAATGTTTGAAAGACTAATATTACTGCCATGGCAGACAGAGCCTGCTACAATAAACACGTTTTTTGAAGAGTGTTTCCTAATGTATAGCTATGGGATCCTTAAATACTGGTGCACTCTCAGCTGGATCAATGTAGGAACAGCCCAATTTTAAATAAAAGCCTCCACAAATGGGTGCTGGATTGCAAAATGTTTGGGAATTTCCAGTCAGCATAGAAAATGTCTAAGAATAACTTGTGTGTAAGAACAGTTTTAGTAGTCTTAGGGTCTTGTAGGGAACCTAGACTAGTAGCAGCATTTGCAGAAGCTACAGGCTTCTCTTCCATTTTATGGTTGGCAAGCAGCACATCAAAAACAGCTGAAATTGTCTCTCTCAGCTTAGGAGTTATGACAGCTGCTTGTGACTCCTCAGGGACAACCTCATCCTGTAAGGAATTGTGAGACTCTTTGTTAGATAGAATTTTTGTAGCTGAAGACTCAGAGCCTGCTAAGGCTTCAGGCAGGTCAGATAGTGTCAAAGGAAGACTGAAGAATGTTGGGACTCAAACAGGGGACAACGATCAAGGCTGCAGTGTCAGGTCCTCAAGGGAGCCAGGACTGGCAATGCATTACCAGAATGACCCACTCTTTGGCTAAGATGGAGAACTAGGCAGATGATATTATGATATCCACCTCAGAGAAAGCTTTATATTCACTGATGAAATACAAGGCTTCCTGTGAATGCTTGAGCAATGTTCTACCCAACTCAATTTAGTTGTGGGAGCAGGATGGGAAGTCTCAATTCTGCTACCAAAACACAATGCTGTATACTGTATGTATATGATGCTACATACAGTTTGTACATGCTCAAAGAGGGTGCATCTGTTGCAAACAGTTTGTTTGGACCATCATTGTCCAAGCAAACTATTTAAAGTCATTAGAAACTTGGAGTTAGGCTTGAAACTGTAAATATATGAAAGTAATCTTAAAGCAGATCTGTGGCCAAGCTATGGCATACGGTTATTTACATATTATTATTTCATAATTAGAGATAGAAATTTCTCTCAGTAGCTGGTATGGCTATCCCTTCCTAACAATGACTTGGGAACGTGGCCATTTTACTAATGGTTAATGTAAACATAGAATAGGTGCTAAGACGTCTTCAGCAACATGGCAGCAGCTGTGCCAAAATTAAGTGACACTACCTTTACAGGTTGTATTTAAAAAAAATGCTATGAAAACACAGTTTTTCTTTCTCAAATAGAAGAGAAAATTATGAAGTGTGAACGACTGAGCATCACAAAGAGACAAGTTTAAAGTTTTAACACACAGGTGGAACATTTATGTTTTAAAGACAACTGACATGTTTCTCTTTTTGGTGTCTCAACCTGTATTGTTGCACAGCATAGAAGCTAATATCTCTTGAATATATGTATACCTTATTTGCCATTGTGATGCCACTGTTTAATGTTCTACCTTTTATCTATTGCTTTAAAACTACTAAAATAAAGTTCAACGTTCACTCTGTTCTGGAGTTCTAGCCAAAATGTATATTTTTTTTTTATGTTCCAGTAGCAACAAGATAATGTAACAACTCATTATATTTGAACCAACTGAATAATACCTTATCTTATAAACCTGCAGTGGTAATAAAATATGTGCAAATGTGATTTTATGTCTTGGAAACGTCTAAGCAATTTTTCCTTTCTTGCTAACATTATTCTTTTTTCTACCTTTTTGCACTACATGCCTTCTATTGCATATATGTCAGCCAGTCGTGAATAGAGTACATTTTTTTTAATCTCTCAGTTGTGACCTTCAATTCAATTTTTTAGGAAACAAAATATATAATTGTATGTATAGTATATACACACATACACTCACACAAACACACACACACACACACACACACACACACACACACACACACAAAACACTTGACATGTTTAATGAAAATATGCCCATGTCTGCTTCCACCTTTATTCATTTTTTTTGTTTTTGTTTACAGAAAATGAAATCATGACAGATTTCAGATTCAGGCACTGCCACATTTGAAACTACTTCTGAAAAGTATTGCTAGAAGGCAGCACAAATTAACAAAGGAACCAGTTCCAGAAGACACAGTATACAACTGTCCAACTCCCAGCAATAGGTAGAAATGAGGAACACCTATAGAAAATTTGCTAAAAGCTTCAGCCTTGGTCTACAGTTTGCTCTCTACTATTCTTTACTTTGATTCTATTTTAAACATTACGTTTTTCTGAAGCACAAAGAACAGTGGAGAGGTTTTGCAGTGGCTAGAAACATAATACATTTTGAAAAACGTGTTCTCCAGATATCATCTTGGCATATATTCTTCTGGTAAGCCTGTAAAGTTCCTGGATCTGAGGGCTTTATCTACCGTCCTGATATATCCATTGATTAAATTCTTCATCTCTCTTGTGAAAGGATCCAAGACTGTTTGGCTGGAGCCTAGCCGTTTGAAGTTCCCATCCTTGTTGTTCTCCACACAAAGGAAACGATCCTCATTTATTGGTAGGTTGAGAAAAGCCACCATTTCCCTTAACTTTCCAATAAGGTCCTTCTTCAAGTCTTCATAGTGCACCACCAATAGTTTCTTTCCATATTGAAGCCAATCCAATGCATGAGAGGTCCACCAGGATGCATAGCTATTAACAAATTCTGGCCATTCTGGAAAAAAATGAAAGACAAAGAAAATTATTTCTGGCAGAGCTAGATTTTCATGACTGTTTATTGGCATTACTAAACCAACTCTTTCTTTTATCTTTGTCATATATGAACAGTTCAGTTGATATACAATTCACCTCTACATAATTAGAGCACAAAAGCTCTGCTCTAGTCTGTCACCTATGACCCAGCCATTCCCTTCAGGGGAGCTGCTACCTTGCTTCTTACAAAGACACATCCAGGGTGTAAACTACAGCTCACGAGTGAGTAAATTTTGACAATTTTTCTTTAAAAAGATCAATTTTATATTTTGCTTATGTCAAATAGTGTTCTTTTTGTTTTTGTTTTTCTCCCTCTTTGTTTTTTTGATCATTATTTGTGTAATGTAACTTTCAAACTGTTATCTTACTTTTTTCTACCGTCACATTTTTTAAAAATAAAATAGGAGGAATCCTTGGCACAATAATGAGCCCAGGACAGTTAAAAGGAGCATCTCCTAGGCCTTTCAGAGCCCACTGCATTCTAAAAAACAAACAAACTATATATCTCCTTACCCATTGTCTCCAATACACTACACCAAAATTTCAACCAAATCTCTAGATTTTTAACAAAATTTAGGGAAAATGTAAATTCTATTTTATTTATCACTTGTGTAATGTCACTTTAAAATTTTTATCTTACTTTTTTCTACTATCACATTTGTTTTTTAAATAAAATAGGGGGAGTCCTTGGGGCATTAATGGGCCCACGACAGTTGAAAGGAGCCTTTCAGAGCCCACTGCACTCTAAAAAAACCTACTAAATATTTGCCTTCCCCGTTGTCTCCAAAACACTTCACTAAAATTTCAACCAAATCTCTCGATTTTGAAAAAAAATTTAGGGAAATTTAAATTCAGGTTTATTTATCATTAGTCACATGAGCTATGAAGATGGTGGTGGGTTGTTTGGAGATATAGATGAGGGGTTGGCTTCTGTTTTTTTAATAAAAAAAAAAATAAAAATCTGCATATACTGTATACTATCTATCTATTTATCTAGATACTGTAAATAGATAGATTTTGTGTATATAGTATACTGTTCAGCTGAAAGCTTCAAACAAATATCAAGATTCTTTAAGCATTCTGCATCCTGCTGTCAATTAGGAGGTGATTCATCCATAGCTGTAAGTCATGCTCCTGCATCAGACTGTGACATTTAAATAATTATAAATACAAGTAATTTACTTTTGTTGGTTATGCAAATTGGAAAGTGAAAACATGAGTTCAGTTCTGCATGCGTGTTGGATATCCTGTTTGTTTATTTCTTGTCCTTTTTTTACTCTTTTCTACCTTTACATTCTGCACAGGCTCAAGCTGTGTTCTTATATTCTTTGCATTTGGAAAATACAGTTACTTTTTACTATTTACAAAAATTCTTTAGCATGCTTGTATTTATAGAATTCTGTATCAAGGTTTAAAAATAGTAGGCTTCTACTGCTACTATGGTCTTCACAGCAAACCCCCATCCATGCATGGTTTAGAGCCTGCTTAGTATAGTTTTAAGAAGTCAGTTCACACTATGCGCTTCCCAGGTAAGGATAAAAAAATGAGTTTTGTGGTGAAAATGAGTGAAAACAGAAACAAAAGTGCTATTGAGTACTTAGGCAGGGTACTGTGATTTTTTCAAGAAGCTAAGTAAGACATCCTGTTACACCCTTCCAACAGCTATGACCTTGCCTGCATTGCATTGAGCTAGAAAGCCCCAATGATGATATAACTGGGTCTAAAATAAAGTATGAAATGAAAACAAGAAGGCTATTGCAATTGGCATGTTGAATACATTTTCACATAGACAATATAGGAACAGTTTGGTTTTTTGTAGTTTTATTAATAATTATTAGTTAGAGAAACCAGGTAGGGCTAATCTACATGTTTTCAGCAGCTGACAGCCAACTACAAAGCTTATATTGTCTGGTAAACCTGTGCCATTTGTTGTTTATATAGGTCATAAAAGGCTCAGCTTTCAAAAACAAGCAGTATTTCCATAGTCATACAATATTTTCTTCTTTCGTACAATTGAAACAGGATTTTTCAGTGTACTTAAAGGATCACTGTGCTGATCAGCTGAATTTGATAATACCTCAATATGCTCACCCTATAGCCAAAGCAAACAAGTGCTAAACTAAATAAACTATGCATAAAGGTATACATCAATTGAATCAAGTACATATAATAATATAAACGCAGTGTCCAAAAATTAATAATATAAACTTTAAGGAAGTGACGTCAGACACAACGGAGGGACCCGAAGTGGCAAATCGGCCATTTTGGAAAATGGAAAATCTGACCCAGACGCTTCTGCTAGCTGCTGAGACTCTGCAAGAGGTTTGGCATGTAGTGTTATTTTATCCAGACGATTCTGCTAGCTCTTAAGACTCTGCATTGGGTTTTTGGATTAAGAGATCTTATCCAGATGCTCGGGTCTACTGCGGAGACTCTGCATTAAAGTTTGGAGATAAGAAATCACATCCAGACGCTTCTGATAGCTGCTGAGCTCTGCAAGAAGTTTGAGTTGTGAGAGCTGTGGTGCAATTTCTCTGTTTTTAAAAGTAAGAGAATAATAAAGTGTTATTTATTTATACCATACGGAATTACACTATATATCCTTTTTATATATGATGGGTACTATGAATACTATGGAGTAATCTTGCTCAAGGTCCTGATGACAGCTAGGAGCATTATCCATGAGGCTATGAGGACATCTCATTGAACATATCCAGGCTGGATTAGCTTTCCTTTTATGTTGTATACCCTTAGTGGTATTAAAGTGCTGTTTCTTTTGCCATCTGGTACGGGTATTCAGTCATTACGCTATAGATTTGTGTTGCTACTACTAGCACTTTGATTTTTTTTGATTTGATCACCAGAGTGTTTCACTAGCACGTTTTTTCACATCGAGCACTTGATTCACATATATGGTCACGTTTGATGTGGAGTGACACTTATGTTGTATATGATTGTACATTATTGTTTTAAGGATAATACACTATTTCAGTTTCCTTTTTTTTTTTTGAGGATCACTTTTGGAGTTTGGAGTCTTTTTGGGAAAGTGTCTGCAGAAAGGACTTGGATTTGCATCTTTAGTGTGTGACTTTAATATTTTTGGACACTTGGTATTTTGGACACTGCGTTTATAATATTTATTTTTGGACACTGCGTTTATATTATTAATTTTTGGACACTGCATTTATATTATTATATGTATTTGATTCAATTGATTTATACCTTTAATGCAGTTTATTTAGTTTAGCACTTGTTTGCTTTGGCTATAGGGTGAGTATATTGAGGTATTATCATTTATTACACTTTCAAGGCTGAAAGTAAGACTTATATGCTTTCAGGGGATAGGTTTATATGTTTGAGGTTTATATTTGAGATACAGTCTGATTCAGATCAGCTGAATTTACCATTGAGTTATCACTTTTGTAGGTATTTTCTGTAAATGTCAATTCAAAAATGTTGCACCATACTGTATGTTCTTTTTTTTAACTGAACTCTATTCAGCTGAAAATATTAAGAAGCACCTGCACTGTACATGGGGAAGTTGAGGGCCTGCTCCCATATACTGGGAATCTTCATTGCTCATGCAGGTACTGGTACATACGGGCTGAATATCATCCGGCATCGGCTAGTTCAACAGAAACCAGTCAACATTCGGCCAATGTGTACAGCAGCCTGTTCAACAGAACATCTGGCTTCTAAAAACGGACATGCTGAAAAACCAGCAGCTGATTGGCATCCAATCAGCACTTGCAGCCATTGGCTGCGAGCGCTGACCGGAGTGTTCTGCCGGGGGAGAGGGCAGAACACAATAGCTATACTATCTACAGTACACTGAGCTCCTCAGTTTCTTTCTTTCAGCCCGCTGGGTTGAATGAAAACTAGACTATCTGTGTGTACCAGGCTTAATTCTCCCAGTCCAGCAATTAGCTCCCCCACATAGATTCACACAGGAAAGCTCTATTTTGAGTCTATTCAAAATTTTTATCTTAATTGAAGTCCTGATAAAGGGGCCTTTTCTTCTGACCCCCAAAATAGGTTGGCTGTTTCTTAGTATGAACTAACAAATTAATTTGGACTCTTTTATCATTAGGTCTGACACTCCTTCCAATAGTGTAAGTTTTTTTTCTGGCACATACTGGGAATGTCTGAGACAGGTGGAGAGTACTGGCTGTATGAGGAGCAAGGATTAAGACATTTCACCTAGACGAATGAACAACGATTGTTTTATTGTTTATAACTTTATTAATTTTTATTTTGTATCTATTTGTATATACTGTATATAGCTATTGAAAAACGTACAAAACTAACTATAACTATTGCAGGTTTGTGAGCAACTATTGTTGTGTATTGAGGAGCGGGAAGGGGCACTAGTTTATTAACTGACTGGAGTTCAGCTTTAAAATATTGCCAGGTTCAGGCTGGTGATATCTACAAGTTTAAGTGAGGTGTCTATTAAAGAAAGCAGGAAAGGCTTTGCAGGATTAAATTAAGACAATAAATTAAACATGTAATAAAAGCAAAATTCCATACCTAAGCAAGATTGATATTTGTAAATTTGAACTGTTTTAAGAGAAATAAAAAAAAAATAATCAAAATAAGACATGTACCTTTGTGAGATGGACTTAATGGCATTTGTATCTTTTAAATAGCCTTCTATTTATAAAAATACGTATACTTTTTTGGCCATGTGTTCTTTTCCATGTTCTTTGCTCAGCTCATCAAAAGGAACAGATACTTTCAGACTCAGATGTATATAATGTTGCCTGCTCATTGCAACTGTTTATTTAGTTTAGTAGTGTTCATGAACCAGCAGCTGTCTCAGGGATTTACTTTCTGACTACTAAGGATACATTGCATACATTATGGCTGTATTCACTCTTAATTGACTACTGATGTATGTACTATGTCATAGCAATCAAAGAGTTAAAATAAGCTTACATTAGAAAACAGGACTTCATTGTATCATGTATTGTACATTTAACTTCAGGTTTTACTTTCATTGTCAAAGCTTAATTGAACAAGCTGAAGTTAGAAGCTGATTGGTTGCTATGAACAGTTGCACAATATTCTGTGTGCACCAGTTTTAGTAAAACTCCCTCCAGTGTGTTACATAATTAAAATCTCACCTTTACTTTTCCAGTGTCTCTCTGTTGCATATCCCAGGTGCCCAGCACACTTCCTGTTGAATTCTGCCATCAAGGCTTTGTAAGGGTTGCGGATTAGTAAAATGGAGGAATCATACATTTCAATTTCTCTTTTGCCACTTTCATGAGTTTTGACACACACAGTTCGGCCGCTCCTCCAGTGATCTTTTTCTCCTTTGAAACCTGAGCAAATCAAAAGCAGCAAGTTAATTTAGGCATGTAACTCCAGTGTCTGGTTAAAAAAAACAACCAAGCATGTTCCTTTTAAGTAAACTGGCTAAGTCTTAGTAGATTCACCTTTGTTGTACAAGGTCCCATCAAAGTAATAACTTCCAGTGTAGAATCCAGTAGCATGCTCTATCAGGTGTCTCACCCATGTGTTTCCAGCTCCAGGAAAGCTTGACAAGGCAACAAAGACTTTGGACTTTGTAGGTAGAAACTTTCGAGTTGTACATCTTGTATCTTAAAAAAAAAATAGTTTTATAAATTACCGTGTAGGTACATATGTATGTATTTTGAGACAAACTAGTCAAAGTGTGAATATACACATAAATAACTAAATTGAAGTGATGGATTACCAGTTGAGTTGAAAGCCAAATGCACAAAAAATTATCGATGAAGTTTACTTAGTAATGCTGTAGGTATGCGACAATGAACTAGGCCTTCTCATTTATGCAGTATATTAACATCAAAGAATACTATGTTGCAATCATGCAAAGCAATGTATGAGGGGCATTCCAGTTAAACCTGGACTTTTAATTTTACAGATATAAAAAGGGATTCTAGCGTGGCGTTATTACACGCAGTAGTAAGTGGCAAGTGTGTCCTATTACTGATAGGCGGCGCCCGTATCGCGGGCCAGTCCAGAGACCGTTAATCAAGATGGCAGACAACAGTGTTAGTGTGTGCATGGAACAGCATGTAGTGATGAGTTTCTTGTGAATGAAGGTGTAAAACCCACGGATATCTACAAAAGACTTCAAACACAGTACAGTGATGACACGCTCAACCACAGTAAGAGATTTGAATGGTGTGAACATTTTAAAGATGGCCACACGTCCATCAGTGACAATCCCGGACATGGTGGTTTCCAGCCCACAGCAGTCAGTCCTGTGAAAATTCAGCATGTGGAATGCCTGAGCCTGGATAACTGACACATAACCTGTCATGAAAGCTTTCTGCTTTTGACCGGCACAGAAGAGTGGAAGTCTGCACTGCTTTGAAGGAGCATTTTGACAGGGAAGGACAGGATTTTCTGGATTTTATTGTTACATATGATGAAACCTGGGCACATTATTTCACTCTGGGATCAAAACAAGCATCAAAGCTGTGGAACCATGCAGACTCACCACCACCAAAATTTTTTGAACAATTGCATCTGTAGTGATGGCAAGTGTTTTTGGGACAAATGTGGTATTATTCATGTAGATTTTCTACCCCATGGTGCCATTATCAAACAGTAAATATTACTGTCATGTTCTGAGTGATGTGCATATGTGTCTGTGGAAAAAAACGGTCTGGTTTGATCACTAAGGGCGTTCTGTTTCTCCAGGCCAATGCACAAGCACCTCGGCTGGGAGGTACTGACACATCCCCATACATCCCAGGCCTTGCTCTGGGTGATTTCCACCTGTTTTGACCCCTAAAAAATTTCCTCAGAGGTCAGAATTTCAGCACCAATGATGAAGTAAAACAGGCTGTCCAAGGATGGTTCAGGCGAACTGACAAATCTTTCAATGCTGAAGCTTTCCAGGCATTAGTTAAATGTTGGGATAAATGTAGCACGGGAGCTTTATTGTATAAACTCAAAAGTTCAGGTTTGACTTGAACACCCCTTGTACTAATTAACCACTTTCCTACTGGGCACTTATACCCCCTTCCTGCCCAGGCCAATTTTCAACTTTCAGCGCTGTCGCACTTTGAATGACAACTGCGCGGTCATGCAACACTGTACCCATATGAAATTTTTACCATTTTTTTCACACAAATAGAGCTTTCTTTTGGTGGTATTTAATCACCATTTTTTTTTGTTATAAACAAAAAAAGAGCAAAGAATGTAAAAAAAAAGTTTTCCTTTGTTTCTATTATAACATTTTGCAAACAGGTAATTTTTCTCCTTCGCTGATGTGTGTTGATGAGGCTGCACTGATAGGCAGCACTGATGGGCACTGATAGCAGGCACTGATGAGGTGGCATGGATATAGGCAGCACTGACGAGCACTGATAGGAGGCACTGATAGGCAACATTGATAGGTGGCACTGATGAGCTGGCACTGATGATGCTGCACTGATAGGCAGCACTGATGGGCAGCACTGATGGGCGGCACTGCTGGGCACTGATGGGAAGCACTGATGGGTTTCACTGCTGGGTACAGGTGGGTGGCACTGCAGGTCACAGATGGGTGGCACTGATGGACACAAATGGGTGGCACTGATGGGCACAGGTGGGTGGCACTGCTAGGTGGCACTGCAGGGCACAAGTGGGTGGCACTGATGGGCACAGGTGGGTGGCACTGCAGGGCACAGGTGGGTGGCACTGATGGGCACAGGAGGTGGCACTGATGGGCACAGGAGGTGGCACTGATGGGTACAGGTGGGCAGCATTGCTGGGCAAAGGTGGGTGGCATAAGTGGGTGGCACTGCTGGGCACTGATCATCAATGTCATGATGATAAGTGCCGATTCCTTTGCTGATAATTGCTGGTTCTCTCGGCAGTATTTTCCTCACACTCTGACAGTGTGAGGTAAGTGCAGCCAGTAATTCAAATTTGAAGGAGAGTTCTTCCTACAGAAGAATGGCACAGCTATGGGAGCAAATTTTGCCCCCTAGTTATGCCAACCTAACCATGGGTTTCTGGGAATACCAACATATAACCCATAATAATCCATTTGCCTCCCATATTGTGTTCTATGGAAAATACATAGATGATATAGTGATCATATGATATGCCCCCCCCCCCCCCAGACTGTTCTTCCTACAGAGGAATGGCAAAGCTATGGGAGCAAATTTTGCCCCTAGTTATGCCAAACTAACCATGGGTTTCTGGGAATACTAACATATAACCCATAATAATCCATTTGCCTCCCATATTGGGTTCTATGGAAAATACATAGATGATATAGTGATCATATGATATGTCCCCCCAGACTGTCGACTCCTTCACACAATGCTGCAATCAGAATCACCTAGGACTATCTTTCACCTATGTAGTAGATCCCCACTCCCTTGCCTTCCTTGATCTACACCTTTTTTCATTACAATGATAACATTTTCTCAAAAAAACTATGTCAAACTCACTTCCGGGAACTCATATATTCACTTTCAGAGATGTCATCACCCCCGGTAGGTGAAAAATATCCCAACAATTCAATTTTGCCGGTCAAGAGACAACTGCACCAGAGAGGCAGACTACATCAGCCATAGCGACATCTTAGCCAAAAAATTCTTAGAAAAGGGATATCCTGCTCCTCTTATACATGACTCTTTTCAACATTACTTAGAGAGATCAGCTCATAAGCCTAACCCATCCACCCCAGATGTCAATGTACAACCCATACGCTTCACTACACAATTTCATGCTCAATAAAAGAAAATGGAGAACATTCTTCGTAGACACTGGTCCATATTGCTACAGGATCCCTTCCTGCACACATCTATCACTGATTGTCCCAAAGTCTCGTACAGGAAGGCGAGAAGCATTAAAAGTAAAATAGCTACCAGAAAATTAAACGCATGTCCAATTCCAAACCACGCACTACATTGATCCCTTTGGTCAGGATGTACCAATGTAAAAAGGCATTGTGCTTTACATGCTCCTTCATTCAACATGGTCAGAAAACATTCACCATCAAAGGGAAAACCTACCCCATAAAGGAATTTTACAATTGTTCCACCAAATATGTAATTTACTGTTTAACATGCCCGTGTGGGTTATTTTACATAGGGAGGACCATCAGAACGCTCCGTAAATGCTTTGACGAGCATAAACGCCTCATTGAAGCAGGTTCTGATAAGCACAGTGTCCCTAGACACTATACAGAACATCATGACAAATCCCCCATGGGGCTCTTCGTGTGGGTCCTGGAACACATTACCCCATTACCCTCAGTGGCAGAGCATTTTAAGCACCTCTGCCAACGTGAAACATGCTGGATCTACACCGTAGACACCCTAGCCCCAGGAGGGCTTAATGAGGAGATTAAGATACACACTATATTATAATCATCTGTCCAATCCTCCGATAATACCCTAATGTCTATCCTAGCAACGCATCTCCCATACATAGATGTGCATATACTGACATGCGCACATAGCCATATAACTTTTCACCCCCCCTCTCTTTTCAGTGCCCCCACTTTCATTATCCTGTTTCTTTTTGTTACATCTTTTTTCATGTTATCGATACTACCATATATGCAATTCTACATTTATTACCATTTTTATTATCATTGCTAATAACAGTATGTCTACAACGTTATACATATATATCCTTCATAAATTTCTGTTTTATGGTTCAGTGCTCTCTTTTTATTATTATTTATTTTTTATAGTTTTGTGCTTTGAGATCATGTTCCACATTGATATGCGTTTTTTCCATGTTACTGTGTCTTTAAATCTCCATTAAGCATTGTTGTTCCACACCTGACAGTGTCCTCTATTTAAGCTGCTACTTCCCCAAGGTCCACCAGGCAAATAGAAGGACAACTACAGTGTTTTCTCACTATCTACCTCATCCCAGCTGCTATTGCACCAACCACCGGTGGCGCCTACAGGACTTTTTGAGGAACAGTCATCTCTCATATACACAGATGAGCTTGTTTTATTACTTACTTTGTGAGTGTTTTTAATCCTTTGCTATTAAATACAGAATTATTATTACACTCAGATTGGCACCTCCTGTCTCTTTTCTTCAGTAACTGGCAACTCTATTTACCCAGTGATCTGCTGTGTCATTGGACACAGCTGATTACATGGTAAAAGGCCGCCGTGATTGGCTGTTTACCATATCACGTGATCAGCTGTGTCCATAGGACACAGTGATCACTGGTGGTGCCGGGGGTGTGTTCTGGAATGATGTCCATGGACGTCGTCCCAGAATCAGACAACCGCACTGTAGTCGTCCTTCAGCTATAGCGTGGTAGGGAACTGGTTAAATAGTAATAAAAAGGAACACCAGTCTTGGTGTGTCATGTATGTGCTTTCATGGTTATTGCCCATTTAGGGCAAAGCAACAAGTTTTCAGTATAAAAGGGATTGCGGGGGGGGGGGGGGGAATTTGTATTTCCTTTCACTTTTTCAACACCATCATTATTGCCTGCTGTAGCCAGCTATTAAGCCTGAGTGCTGCCACATGGTGGGGGCAAGGGGACGGGGACTAGTTGTGATCCTTGTGTCCATTGCTATGCATAGAAGGTAAGTACACTTACTGTAGTTGCTATCCAGTGAATATATTACTTTGTCAA